TCCCCCTCAACACTATCCCTTTTCCTCCCTCCAAATAATGAACAGGGCTCATCCCTTGAGGCTAGAATTTTCTACCTCCTTCTATTCAATCAAGTCTCATTTTGTGTCACCTCTTCAGAAAGGACCCCTATCTCAGTCACAATCATATCACCTCATTTTATTTTCTTCCTAGCTTTTCATCACTATCTGAATTTGTATTTACAAATATATTATATACCTTTCCCTTCTAATAGAAGTAACCTTCATGAAGGCACATGAAGGGTTCATGTTGAGCATAGTATGTCTGGGATAGTACTTGAGACACAGATTCCAAGAAATATTTTGAATGATTGATAATGGCAGTAGGACCTAAAGCATATCACTTAACCTCTGATTCTACTTCACTTATGAAATTCTAGTATCTAATCCCATCAACTGTTATGAGTGCCAAAAGGACAAAAGTGAGAATGCCTGTTGACTATTAAGTATATAACCTATATTGAGACATGGCTTACTCATCAATCTATACCCATCTCTCTGCCTCCCTTTCCCGTTCAGTGACATGTGGGCAGCTCACCTTAACCTTTCAGTAGGATCAGTTGTATACAGTGATGGTGATTGGAGAGGGTGGCTGCTATAAATCATAGTACATTTTCTCATGGGTCCCCCAGTACTTCTTTGGAACAGTTGTGAGTAGATATTTGAATCATTCACAAAAATGTCAGAGTCAGGAATCTAGCTCAGTCAAATTTCTAGGCTGGCATTTTTGAAACTGGCATTTTTAAGCAGGTAAAAAGGCCTAAGACAGGCCTAGTTAATACATGCTACAGAGTTAACAATCAAGCATACTAGTAGTATGAGCTGAATGGAACTCCTTGGGGTAGGATGGAGGGAAAGAAAAGGACTCTCTAGCTTTATTATTTTTTCCAGATGATTTTGATACCAATCTTTTAGAAAGCCTAGAAAAAGGGTTCAGTCAGTGCCCATGTGCACACAAGGGCTGTTAAATAACGTGCATACTAAAAGTTGGAATGTATTTCTACTTACTGGATTAACAGTGATTTTCCTGTTTAAACATGTAGACAGTATTGGGCCCCAAATGTGAAGGGATTAATTCAGATACAGAAGGTAACTTCTTAGGGTAAGGTTTCTTTTCCATCAATGCAATAGGGCAGAATTTGGGCTTTGTTACCCAGTTGTTAAGAACAATCCTATTGGGCTGGGGGTGTAACAGGCTCAAGTGGTAGAGTGCCTGCCTAGAAAGTGCAAGGCCCTGAAGTCAAACTCCAGTCTTGATAAAAAAAAAAAAAATCCTATACTTTCAGGCTAACAGCATCTGATACCACTCCACTCTTTTCCTTCCCTCAGGAAAGGGTAGGGCCAAGACAAAACAGAATGAATGAATTTTCCCCTTTTATCTAGAGGGGATACACCTGATTCTGAATAAAGCTAAGTTAGTGAGCTAAAATAAACCATTTGCCTTTAAAAAAAAAAAAGCTGCTGGGTCCCAGTGGCTTGTGCCTGTAATACAAGCTACTCAGGAGGCAGAGATCAGGAAGATGGTGACTCAAGGCCAGCCTGGGCAAATAGTTCAAGGGACCCTATCTCAAAAATACCTACCACAAAAAAGGACTGGGGGGCATGGCTCAAGTGGAAGAGTGCCTGCCTAGCAAGCATGAGGAGGCCTTGAGTTCAAACCCCAGTACCACCAAAAAAAAAAAAAAAAAAGCTGGGTGATATGTTCCTCTGGCTTCTTACAAGACTCAGATGAATAAAACCCACACTAGAAATCAACATCAGTCCTCTATTACTAAATTGGTTTCCACATACTTAAATAAAAGGGCTACAGAAAATGTTGCATTATATTCACACAGAAAGTACAAGTAAAGCCAAGCCAAATGAATCTTTTTCCAAAACCTCAATTCCAAAAGCTTTCTTCATAGTACTGTTAATATTTCACTCCATATTGCCAAACAAAACAAACTTTTATCAGTGGCATCAGATTTGGCGTTGAGAAGAACTTGTTTTCATTGGGGCTCAAGTCTGATCTAGGTAGCCTTTTTAGGGGAAGAAATACTACTAGGGATTGAACTCAAGAGTCAGGGCCTCATGCTTGCTAGGCAAGCACTTTAGCCATACCTGTCCTGATCTGATAGCCTTTATTCTCCTGTTGTCTACTTTTCCTGTTGCACTCCAGAAAACTCATTCATATATATACATATATGCACATATATATGTATATATAATATATAGTCAGTATCTATAAAGTGGAAACATTATAAATCCAGATTAGCTATTTTAACAGGAATATTCAAATTTAGATGAACTACTTGGAAATTATTTATATTAATATCTATTAGGGAACTAAATTAAGAGAGGCTCCATATAAATTTTGGGTGCTTGTGTCTGCAAGTGTAACAACTGCTATTTACTGGCTGCTGCATTATGCTGCAGTTGCAATGTGCTTTCTTAACCAGCTAGGTCTTTTGCTAACAAATAAAGGTTTAGGAGGGAGCATCTTTTTTCACCTCAAAAGAGGAGAGCTTGCCTAACAAGCTTGAGGCCCTGAGTTCAATCCTCACTACTTAAAAAAAAAAAAAAGGATGGTAGTTTTGTAAGTCTGGGTAGATACTGTAAACCAAGAGTTTCAGTGTACAATTTGAAGAACAGGCTTATTTAATTCTGGGGTAGCATAGGTGGGCAGATAAGGTGTGTCTATGCATATCCACGGGTGAATATGCAGACATATTTTAAAACTCATCACCATTTGCATCCTACCCACTTTAGTCACTCTCCCCCATATTATTCTAGAGTTGTACTGTGCAATACAGTAGCCACTACCTACTTGTGGTTACTGAGCATTCTGAATGTGCATAGCTCAAATTGAGATGTACTCTAAGTATAAAAACTACATACCAGATTTTGAAGATTCAGCATGGAAAAACACAATATAAATAATAGTTTTTAAATGGATTACATGCTGAAATATTTTAGTTAAATAATTAAAACTTCTTTACACATTACCTTTTATAATGTGGCTGCTACTTAAAATTACATGTGACTTGCATTATATATCTAGTGGACAGCACTGTTCTAGAACATTTGATGTATAGAGGACCGACTATGGGAGCTTTTTTAAAAGTGGGTACACCTCAGTCACCACTACCATCCAATGAGAAATTCAACAATATCTCAGAGGCTTCAAGTTCCCATCCTACCAAAAACAAAGGGAAGAAAAATCCCAGAACAGCACTATTCCTAGGATGAGGTTAAGAGCACCACACACATTTATCTCCTGTTAGCTGAGAAAACAAACTTGAAATTGAGAAGAGCCCTTTTGTTCACCCCATTTATCCCTCATTGCTCCACTCAAATACACTGGCTCTAGCAGTTATGCATTTGAATGGAGGTAATTATAGCATATGCACTTCTTTAGGGTTTGTTAATTTATTATCTATTTACACGTCTCCCGACTGACATGCCTACTCCTTGTGGGTGGGCACTGTATCTTTTACCCTGTGCTTCAAATGTTGAGTGAGGCATGATAATCTTCTCAAATACTCACTTCAGCAGTCATTTACTTATTCTAAGCACTACTGCACCTATTATTTGGAAATGCTTTGTTTGCAACTGCCTTTAGAATGTATAGCATATTTCAGAATATGCTTGAGTGGCAAATCTTCATCCATTGAAAGATAATTCTTGGGAACAGCCAAAATTCATCTCAAGGGTAGCAAATACAGTGAACACACTGAATAGGATTGCTTCTCTCAGTGACTCATAAAATTGTTTCCAAAGCAATTTAAACAAGTCCCAAGTATCTTATGAGCAAAGACAACATTCTTGGAATTGGCTGCATCAGACAACTAACACCAATAAGCTGGCTGGCATGCTAAAATAAAAGTCACGTGCAATTCTAGTCATGTATTATCTCGTATCAAGTGTAATCGGGGCCCAAAATACATGTAGTAAGGGGCTGAGATGATTCTTAAACATTAGATTCCTCAAATTTTATTCTAACCTACTTCCAGACCTTCAGAAATGATACCGTGATACCTTTTGCCCTAGGGCTGATTCCAAAATACACTTTAAATACCTTAAAGAAAGGCTTCACTTCAGCATATCTGCTAATGCTCAGTGATTTACCAAATTTGCCTTATGTTCTTTAATCTTCCTTAGAAGCAATGATTTGCCCCTTCAATTAGTTGTCCTTGGTCAAGAATCCCAAACTGATACTTATTCTAAGTAATCATACCTTGTAATCTAGCCTAGGGCTTAGGAGAAATAGTAAAACACAAACAAGACATCATATAGCATCAGGACTGAGGGTACAAGAAGTCTGGAATCAAAAGATGAGAGTAGAAATACTCTGCCACTCGTGTCCTGGAAAAATTACCCAATGTCTCTATCTCAGCTTTGTCACCTATAAGACAGGGTGGTAATACTTCCATCTCACCATGAAGATTAAATAATTTATACAAAGCATTTTATATAAAGCCTGACAAAGGCTGGAAGCATGGCTCAAGAGCATTTGCCTAGCAAGTACAAAGCCCTGAGGTTCAAACTCCAGAACTGCCAATGTGTGTGCATTTATGTGTTTGTATGTATGTACACATACATAGCACAACAGCATAGAAATCAAAGTTTAGTCATTTGTAGTATGACTGTTAGCAGTCCATCTGCAAGGTCTTAGATTTAAATCCTGCCTGAATCCAAGACCTGAAAGAAACTGGACTTAGCTTTCATATTTTCTTTTTCCCCTTAAGGAGTTAGGGATGCAGCTCAGTGGAAGAGCATGTGCTTTGCATGCACAAGGGCCTAGGTTTGATCCCCAGCACAAAAATTACCATTAAGATTTAAGTTTAGCCAAGAGCCAGTGGCTCATGCCTGTAATCCTAGCAACTCAGAAGGCAGTGATCAGGAAGATCACGGTTTAAAGCCAGCCCCAGCAAATAGTTCATGAGACCTATCTCAAAAATACTAAACACAAAAACAGGGCTGGTGGAGTGGCTTATGTGGCAGAGCACCTGCCTAGCAAGTGTGAGGTCCTGAGTTCAAATCTGTGTACCACCAAAAAAAAGTGAAGTTTATAATCTACCAAGGTTTATCAAATCTTATTCTAGGATCTGGGTCCTTTTCACTGATTTTCTCTCAAACATGCCCACATATTGCTTACAGTGCTAACTTTTCAGTGGTGGTGGCGAGTTTCAAAGAACAGGATCGTGAGACACTAAAATTAAAACCCTAGGAGAAGGTAATGAGGTGAAGCTTACCACAGCAAAACTATCCTGAGGAACTGAGTTCAGATACCAATGAGAAAACTCTGCAGGCACCAGAGGAAATGAAAGTAAAATAATCACCATCAGCTAAATGCATACCAAGAGGAAGCCATCCAAGTATCAGAATGTGATGATCTACTTAGAAACAAAGACATCTTAGTGGCTTAGGCAGCATGCTTAAGGGGTAGGAGGCAGGAATGGAAGACAGAAGCTGCATGAGCACACATGCACACCCAGAAGACTTCTGTCTACAGAGGTCAAGGAAGGGAGTAGTCAGGGCAATGGCGAGAATACAAGAAACAACAAAGATGCACCTACTTAAAATGTCACTTATACCAATCTTCCTAGGGTTTTTAGAAGACACTTTTTATTTTTACTAAAGATTAAGCCAGTCAACTACACAACACAGATACAGCTGAAGTTGTACCACAAAAGTCAGTACCTGCCCATACTCATAGCAGAAGGGAATCAAAATCAAGATTGCAATGTAATTCCACTTGATTCTAAAAATCAAGTCTGTGACATTGAAGCAAAGGAACCTTTATCAGAGTCCCCCTTTTAAAGAAACCCCAAGGAGAGATGAAAAAGCACAAATGATCACTTCATGCATTTTATTGGTAGTCTATATTTTAAATCTGCAGTATGACATCTTACATAGGGAAAAAGCTTCTTCCTAAAAGATAACTATTAATAATCAAACCAGCTTTAATATGACTGACCTTTCAAGGTCTTGTTTTGCATTAAACAAGTTAATTTTTAGCAGGTGTAAAGCACTGTACAAAAAAAGGAAATTGGGTACATTCTCAAGATTTAATACAGGGCTTCCCAACCAGGAGTTTGCTGGATAGATATTGAAAGGTGTTATGTTCAGGTTTAAACTGAAAGAAAATGAGAAACCAGGTAAAGCAAGCCAACCAAATTCATTTCACTTTGTGCTCTGCTTTTTTGAAAGTCTCTCCCAGAGGTCAGGAAGCCCTGGTATAACAATCACTTTAGTCTTTACAGAGCATACATTTATCTGCTTCATGTTCAAAAACATAAAGGCAGCCTTTGTTACTGTTCCCCTTCCAAATCCCTTTAGGTTCTTATAGGCTTCAGAAAGCTTTCCAAAACTGCTGCCCAGTTCTTTGTATGAATCCAAGTAAACATCCACTAAAGCAGCTCTTCCTGGGAGAAGATAAAACAGGCACAGATACATAACCAGGCCAACTGCGTACCTACTCAACTTGATACCTGATCACATGGCCCTACATGTTTAAAAGCAGCACCAGGGACAATGGAGCTATCAAGAGGTAAATCCAAACATTGGACAGTTAAAACACAAATTATCAGTTAAAAGGAGGTTAGTTAACACGGCACTAAATACAGAGCTAAGGCTGGGCAGCTGGCTCAGCCATAACTTGATATTGGAATCAATCTGCAAGATGAGGAACTGATAGAGGAACCTTGAAATAACAAGGCACAGTGGTATCATGGGGTTCACTCTCACTCAACCCAAATGACTATACTGCAGCTTGTGGAACTTTAGTAAACAAATCATAATAAAAAATAAGGCTCTCATTGTAATTTTGAGTTCTGGATATACCCATTTCTTTTAGGTCTGAATCCAAATTATCTATATAGACATGAAAAGAATCATAAAACCTATAAACTATACTTTACCCCTTGAGAGTTCTATACTGTAGACCTTTAGTACATACAAACTAGAATTACTTACATGAGCCCATTCACTTGTTAGAAGTATTAGACAATATTTTAGAAATGTTCCAGTTAAGGAAAAGAATTCTTAATTTCTGAATGCTAAAAAATTTTAAAGGGCAGGTACTGAACTTACAGCTGCTTTTAGTTGTTTATTAAAATTCTGATTCAAAAATAAAATAGTAGTTCCTCAGACCTTGCACTTCAACTTTCCACACAAAGCATGTTAACATCAATTTACATTTCCAAATGCTTTTTGCAAAAGTACTAGTTAATTCAACAAATTACAACAGTTATTGAATATTAAACATACTGAAGAATTATACTAAAGGGAAAAACACACTGACATTTTAACATGTGCCTTATCAACGTCTTGTATTACTAAGGTACAGAATACTTTAGAAAGTAGCAATCAATATAGTCTCATAAGACTTGTAAAGAATAAAAAGTGCCCTAACAAGTGTGGCTTCTATGTACTTCATATTGGTAAAACACTTGACAGGAAGCCAGTAAGATTTAAAAAAAAAAAATCAAACAAGGCAGATTACAATCTTTTCATAAAAGAACAAAAGAATATGGGGGGGATAAAAATATCCTATCTGTAAAATAAAAATATCAACAACCACAAGGTGCCACTGTATTCTAGCAAGCCTGTTAAGAATGGCCTTTTAAGAAGCATTTTGCAACATCACCTCCCTATCACATGATTATTTGGGGAACTGCCTGAAAGTCATACCTGATGATCAACCCATTTCATTTTGTGAGCAGTTGGGAAGCAGGTGGTTATATACAAAGCGTACTAAGTGATAACCCTTCATAAATGAGACAATGACAATGGGGAGAATACTTGGCATGGAAAGAATGTTCCCTCAGGAAAAGAACCCCACATTATTTGATGTAACATTTACAGCTAACCAGTTTCCTAATCTTAAAAATTTGGACGAACTCCAATAATCATGTTCTTAAAGACTGACTGTAATATCTCCTGGCACTAATGGTTTTGTTATGAACTGTACAATTACCTACATTCCAACAGTAATATAAACAGTTTTCTCAATCTCCACCTCCATTAACACCACTGAGGGAGGTATCACTAACATTCTTTTTAGAGCAAATATTTCAAATTAACACAGCTGTCTTCTAATGTTGCCAGTCTACAAACTTTTGACTTAATTTTGTTTTCTAGTCCTAATAAATCCCAACCTTATCAGGCGCTTAAACGAAACACTGCAAATGTTTCACACTAGTAAGTGAATTTTGAAAACCATCTTAAATATTAAAGGTAATTTAGGTTTTAGTACTTTTCCCTATGCTTTGAACAATGTAATCTCCCAAGTTTTTTCTCGTTCCTATTACTGCATGAAGTTCAAAGTAGGTCTTAAAGACAGAAAAAGTGCAAATATACAAGACGAAATGTAGTCTTTTGCAAGAAAATGTTCCCTCACAAATAGGTGTCTGGACTCTGGTGGGGGAAAAAAAGATTTTTGTTCTCCATTGTCCATCTGACCCTTACAAATGATCTTGTCTTTAATGTCCACAACACTAGTTGTATGTAATAATCATGGACTGCAAAATAAAAAGTAGCAATTTCTGCTACAAATACTTAAATTCATTCTACAAAATCCAATGGATATGAGTGCTACTGAAAAAGGTGTCTACATGCACATGTCAAATATGTGCATCTATTGAGGGTTAAAAACTTAAAAGTTCTATCTCCAGTGTTTATTAATAGCTTCAGCATCTACATTCATAACCAGAATTCTGCTTTAGTTACCTCTTACGTGAATACTTCACAAATGAGTAATACGTTTTGGGAGGTTAGGAAGATACCTGTTGACAATAAACTTCCTTTTATGCTTATAATGTGCTGTAGTTGTTTTTAAGCTATTTAAAGTGAACACCCCTGTAATAATGTAACATCTTATACCAAGAGGAAAACGGGTTTATTTTAATCAGGACTACCCCACAGATCTGAAAACTATGATTACACCTTAGGAAAGGGGACAAGGAGGCTCACAAATATAAAGAAATCCTGAATTTTACATGGATAATTCTTTTAAAAAGATAAAATTACACAAGCGCCATAAACAGTGAAATCTGCTTATATTAAAAAAAAATAAGTGAAGCTTTGGACATTACTTCCTTGCAAGAGCAGTACATATCCTTAGTAAACAACTACCATATTTACAAGTTAAATTTCCTTGATACTTAGGTAGGATTGAGAGCCAGAAGAAAACATGAAAGAATGAACTTTGAAATAATCTTAACAACTAAGGTGGTAACAGTGAAGGTAACCAGGTAATTCCTAAAGCAGACTTGTTTATTTTGTAGAGTATTACTATATCTGGGTAGTTCGCTCATTTTGTTAAAGGCCAAGGACGTGTTCAATCTCTCTTCTGGCCTATTAGCTTTTCCCAGAAAAACAAATTATCTGCTCCATAGTCAAAATAATCCTAACCCCAACCAGCCTCAAAAGAGAAATTAAATAAGAGTATTGGTGTTATCATGAATCTATTCTTACTACTAAGAAAATAACAAAGTACCTATCCATAGATGGTGAGAAGCAGTCTCATCTTCACATATGGGCAGCACAATTAAAATGTGAATTTCAAATAACCCAACACTGATTCACTTTCAACTAAGTTCTATCCTTAAAAGTATCCTTAAGAGTTTTATCCTCAAAAATCCCTTATCAATATCTTAAAATGTGACATGTTAGATCTGTGCTAGACAGTGACGAAATATTAACAAGTGTGCTCTAGTACCTTACATGATAAATCTTGAAAACAAGCAAATCCAAGACTTTCCTATTAGCACACACATCTGTACCAACTGCAATTATTATGTTAAAAATGGTTTATAGTCGCTTTCCTCCACCTTTTTTTTGAGGAGCAGACTTGCAAAAACATCAATTTAACTTATGCTAAGTGGTAGTGGTTTGTTTTATTTAAACCAAAGAAAACTGCCAAATTTGCTGATCTTCTGCCTCATCTATTCAAATAGAATACTGGGTCAAGCTGCTGCTGCTGCTCTCACCAAATGAAACCAGTCTGCATTACTGTCTTCATGAAAACTTTCTTCAGAGCAGTTTTCTTTACTCTCATCTTTCACTTCCTGCCTAAATCCAAGTTAAAATCTGATTTCCATTGGTCTTTAATGCAGTTTTATTCTGCATAGTCCTTCCTTTTCATGTCACAGTAGCTGTTCACATACATTAAATACAGATATGTTCTGCTCTTGACATCTACACACTTACAAAAGCAGCTTTGTACTTTGTTTGGTGTGTTTTTTTTTTTTTACTATGTTGGCTCACAAAAAGCAGTTTTCTCATTTCTAAGCATGGTACTTTACAATTTTTAATGCATTAATACAACAGTGCATTGGAAAAGTACTGCGCCTCTACAAAATAGTTTTACATTTTTAAACAAATGAATGTGATTTTTTTCACTTACACAAGCATAGGCTTTTTAATATTTCCACAAGATAAATATCTCAATTAAACTATAAGCTCACTCTATAAGTGTGCCACAGTGATGGGCTTAGGACAGTTATACACTCAAAAGATCCTAACTTTAGTGTTATTTACACTGACGTGTCCAGTATCACCGAGTCTGAAAAGTGAACAAACAATATTCAGAATGTGACTGAATAGTGTCAACTAATAACTGGGAATGGTATAGCTTTAAGTAATCACTTATTTAACACATACTGTAACTTAGTCTTAGCCAGGAATTTTCTTTGCCCCTCTTTCCTATGGCATGGGAAACTTTAAAAGATCAATATGAAACAGACAAGAGCCATTGCTAAGGCAGATAGTTTAAGATAACAAAGGAGAAACTGACAAGTATACATGATAAATCATCAGTAACAGATACTGTCAATTCACCTGGTACTGAAATAAGACTTTTAGGTCCTAAAACATTGCTTTTCAAATATTTTCTTTTATTATGGAAGATAAATTGGAGATTCTTTCAGAAAGCAATGACTCAATTCAGGTTATTACTTTACATTTAAGCACCACTCAAAAAGTGGACATAAAGCAAGTGATTCCTGTTTGCCCATCACTATTCCAGCCACACAGCTGAGAGTTCAGATCTTAATTACACAACACTTTCTCTGTTGCCAGAAGCTAGGACTGCTCTGCGACAAATAGGACAGGTAGAATTCTCAGATAACCAGCGATCAATGCAGTGAACATGGTACTCATGGGAACAAGGTAGTTTACGAAGTTTGTTGCCTTCTGTATATTCTGTAATGCAAACACTACATGTTTTCAATGCATCGTTTTCACCAAAACTTCTCATTGCCAAGTTGTCAATCTGTTCTTTGGTGAGTCCTCTGGGTTGGTCATCATCATCTTCATTTAAGAGGAAAAACTGAGCCAGACTAAGGAAGGGCAAAGAGCCACTTTCATCAAATGTGACTGGAGCCCTGTGTCGACCCTCTCGCCTGGCACCTGATGAAGAGCTTCCTTCATTACCACTTTCAAATACCTCTGAGCTACTTTCTGAACTTTCACCACTAGAACTGGAACTAGGACTGGAACTGGAACTCAAACTGGAACCAGAACTGCTACCACCACCAGAGCTCCCTCTTCCATTCCGTGACTCTACCCGTTCCATATTTCGACTTGGGACTGAGGCACTAGGCTCTGAATCACTATCACTGTACATAAAGTAGCTTAGCTCACCAAAACCTGTCATTATCTGCCTTAACATGGTCTGAATTGCAACAGATGTAGTCTCGCTTAAACCAGTATTTAAGATTCTACGAATAGGAATCCTGATAGTACTGACATAGGTTCTCACACCTGCCCGCTCAGACCGTGAAAATGTGCGCCTAAAACCTCCTCGTTCGCTTTCATAAGTGACAGTGTTGTTTGGAGTCTGAGACCTTGACCGAGTTCTGCTAGCTATGCTATCTCTCTGCCTATATTCTCCAGGACGAACTCTTCTTACTTGAAGATCAAGGACTATGGTTGGAGGTCTCTGTCCTGATCCTGTAGATTCACCACTGCCAGGTGTGTCTGAAGAACCTACTCCTTGAGAGGCATTTCTTGTTCCGGAAGCTGCAAAAAGACCCCTACTTATCAACTCAGGTCCAGTTATTTGCTGTCTCAATGTCACGTGGTGCCGGGTTCTAGAACTTCCCTCAGTCTCACTTACCAAAGGGTGCTCAAAAGTCTGAGATGAGATGCTATGATGAGATCTTCTTGGAATTTCACTCATTGGATGCAGAGGTGATCTACTTCTTTCAGCTCTCGCTCTGGTTCTCCGATGGTCTGGGCTCCTGCTTCTTGCCCTCCTCTGACCTCTGGTAGGTGGGACTTCCCCTGTCAATGCTTCAGTTGAATTTCGTTCTGACCTAGATGGTCTTGCAGATGTTGATTCAGATGGTGGATTTTCCACTTGCCTTTGGCTGTTGGTTTCCATATTTTCTCCACTAGGACGTCTTGCAGATGGCTCATTTTCATTCTCTGGATTTTGGCTCCCATTATTACGGTTAACATTTATCTCTAAACTGAATCTGAAATCACCACTGTTTGGATTAGTCCGGCTTACTGCTCTCCAAGATTGATTTCCTCTTTGCCCACTTCTTGTCGTATTTCCAGTTTGTCTGACAGAGTTAAGCCAGTCTATTATAGAGTCACCATTAGACACATCATCTGAAGGGTCTCCACCTGTTTAAAACAAAGAAAGGGGAGAGGGAGAAAAAAGTACTACTAAAATTAGGACAATCATATGCTAGTGCTCAGAAACTCTGTACTAAAGAATTAAAAATTCTGAACGAATTTCACGTTTACAGATCTTTGCAAGCTACACCACAGATCTGTAAGTAAAAGTCCAGAAAAGTTCAATTGTATTTGAAAAGCACAAGCTAATACTAGAGAAATTTAGAGAAGTTTTTTACTTTTAAAGGGATCTAGAGGAAGTATTTTCAGTATTTCATAACATACAAAGCCCAGCAGATACCATGGGACTGTCAGAAGGCAACTTTTATTTTAAGTGTACTGTCAAAATACTAATGCAATCAAACTACATAAGCACTGTTAAGGCATAGAGCTAGTATTCTAGCTCTAATTTTCTGTCAAATTTTCATGACTCTACAACATTACTTTTTCTAAGCACTTAGTGCCTTTGATAACACCTGTGGTTATCCTAAAATACAAGACTATTGTAGGCACAGTGAAAACATAAACAGGGTTAATGGTTTAAAAGTATTTGAATATTTGATGTGAACCTGTAAATGAGATTAAATAATCAGCCTGAACCTAGCATGCATATATACGTGTGTAATGGTGTACTCAAGAGCCAAACTAATACCATAGCTCTTATGTTACATAGTCAAATTCCTTTCTTCATGCTGTGGAAAACACCAGACATGAGGCTAAAGCGGATTTTTCAGCAGCAGCACTTACGACATTTTAAGCCAATTAATTCTAGGACCTGTGCTGTGCATTGTAGGATATCAGGATGTTTGGCAGCATAACATACCTGCCCTCTACATGCTAGATGCTAACAGCAAACCCTCAATTGTGTCAACCAAAAATGTCTCCAGACACTGCCAATACCCCCAAGGGAAACAAAATTGTACCCTGTTGAGAACCTCTGGGATACACAATTCAGTATTTCTTTTCGCTATTTGAAGCCACATGTTTATAAATAAAGAATCAAGTAGGAGGAAATTTCAATGGAGGTGGAAAAAAATCACAAATAGGACAGTTCTCACTGTGTCCCAATTAACACAAACAACCCAAAGGTGAGGTAGAAAAAAAACATGCTGACATTCTCACCAAATATCAAGAAAATGTCACTTCTCTTTTTATGACAGTTAGTTACTTTAGCACCAAATTAATTTGTGGCATTTCTGGATAATCTCTGGCTGACATTTACTATTATGAGGTTCCTATCACTCCATCCTCTACCCAAAAGCAAAATATACCTCTGTTTTCATCTGAGTTTTGTGGAGGTGGACCCTCTTTAATTTGTTGTAGTCTTCTCAGCAACTCTTCCTCAGTACTTTCACCTGAAAAGTTAACAATGTTTGCCAAATTAAAAAGGAAAGTCAGCCTGTCTCCCCGCTACCTCTTTTGGGTTTTTCTTGAAATGGGATCTTGCTATGCAGCCCAGGCTGGCCTCTAACTGGAGATATTTCTACCTCAGCCTCCCAAGTGTGAGGACTACAGGTGTGCATCACCACACTTGGCTAAACCAGTGACTCTTAGAAACAAACACCATAGGGCAAAGATAAGGTTATGGAAGTAACAAATAGTTCATCAGTGACCCACAGTGATCTGACTCATAATGATTATAAAAGAAATGTCATGGCGAGGCCCCGAATTCAAACCCCAATCCTACTAAAAATGAAATATTATGTTTAAAAGTTAAAAGCAAATTAAAGAAAACCTAAAAATAAAAATAAAAAAAACCAGAAACTCTAAAATGAGAATCAAGTAGTGAATAAAATTCACTTCTTTGGGAACATACATTATAACATATAACTTGTATATCTTTACAAGAGATGGAGGTGTAGCTCAGTGGGAAAGTGTTGCATGTACAAGGCCCTGGGTTCAATCCCCAGCACTAACAAGTGCTTTTGCATACAGTATCTTATTTCTTAAAACTTGAGTCAGGGTGGGGAATCCTCATTATGTGGCCCAGGCTGGACTTGAACTCTTGATCCTCCTGCCTCAGCCTCCCAAATAGCTAGGATTACAGACATGAAGAAACCGGGCTGGTGGAGTGGCTCAAGTGATAGAGCGCCTGCCTAGCAAGTGTGAGGCCCTGAGTTCAAGCCCTAGTACTGCAAAAAAAAAAAAAAAAAAAAAAAAGAAAGAAGAAACCAACTGAGTGACTTACTTGCCATAAGCCACAACTAATAAAACTAATAACAGGGACAAAAATTCCAACTAAGGCATTCTAATTCAAGTCTGGTACTGTCCCTGTCTTAAAAGTCATGCCTTCAAAATTTATGCTATCACCCAAAGGTTAGAATTCAATAGAAATGAGAAGGCAGACAGCAGGTATACTAAGTTTTAACAATGATCAAATGAGACCTCATCTTGCAAGAGACTAAACATTAAGTTCTAACTGCCATTTTACCCATGGCTAGCCCTGGAGAATTACAATTAAGACATAATCAGAGATGACAAAACAGGGTAAGTATGTCCTAGGAACTAAAATTCCCATTAGTTATTCCACACTTGGATTCATGTCTAGTAAGTTAAAGCTAACTAACAACAAAGATTGCTTGGCTCCATACTTTTTGATCCACTGTATTAAAAATTCGCAATATATTACATAATAATTCCTAATTTTAATTTCTCTGACATAAGATAACTCCAAATATGAATGAGTAGAAATCAGGTAATAAATACAGCAGTAAATGCTATTCTATATCCTTGTACTTATCGCTCATTAAGAAACAGATTTTTAGAACAAGTTATTTTTTAAACCCAGCCACTTACAGATATAAATCCTTAAATTACAAGTAGCATACCTGGGGTGCCTAGCAAATTGTTATCTCTCATAAGCCTATAATCTTCTTCGCTCAGGTTATTTACAAATTGATAGAAAGCTTCTTCCCGATCCAATCGGTCCATCTGACTTCTGCGCTGTGCTGCAGACTGATCACCACTTCCTTTATCGTTAGAATCTGAGTTTTCCATCTTGATGAACAAGTGGAAGATTATCTAAAAAGAGAAAAGAGACCAATCTGAAAAAGAGGTCATTATGTATTCTATGCAAGTTTTAATTGTTTAAATCAAGAATGCAGGTCAAGACATAGATTTTAAGATCTCAAATAAATGAAAAGCACCATTCTAGGAAAATATAAGGGTACAGGTTGGCAAACTCCTGGGCCAAATCCAGCAATGTTGCCTATTTTTATTCTCCTTATAATCTAAAAACAAGTTTTTGACATTTTGGGGGACTGGTGCTAGGGACTGAACCCAGGGCCTTGAAGGTATACACTCTACCACTGAGCTACACACCTTAGCCCCTGGGTTTTACTTGTTTTGTTCTTTTCTAGAGATAGCGTCTCACTACGAAGCCAACGTTGGCCTGGAACTTGTTATGTAGCTCAGGTTGGCCTCAAACTCACAATTTTCCTGCCTCAGTCTACCAAGTGCTAGCATTACAGATATGCACCATCGTGCTTAGCCACTTTTACTTTTCTCAATGGTTAAAAAAAGGATTATTTTGTGATGTGTGAAAATCATGCAAAATTCACATTCCAATGTTCATAAAGTTTTATTGGAACACAGCCATACACATTCATTTACATACTATCTATGGTTGCTTCTGTGATATAATGGCAGAGTTGAATAGTTGTGACAGATTGTAAGTGGCACTCTCATTGCTTTACACTGCTGCTCTGCATACTGTTAAGTTCCCATGATGCAATTATAATCTGATAGTATTTCAAGCGCCATGTGTATCACCATACTGTGACTTTTTAAAATTACCAGTATACACTCATGTCAAATGAAGAGGAAAGTGGACTTCAAATGTCACACTTAAAGGCACAGCAGAGGATAGATTTTCATCAGATTAGATGACAAGACTGCACTCATTATGCTACAGGACTATAAATGTGCTAATGCAGTACAATATACACCAACATTATGAGACTAAAACATTGCCACAATACTCCTATGATCTGAAAAATTAGAAAATTTAAAGTTAAATATCTCTTCTAACATATTTCCTCATAAAAATAAATTAAGCTGGGCACTGGAGGCTCACGCCTATAATCCTAGTTACTTGGGAGGATCATGGTTCGAAGCCAGCCTAGGAAAATGGTTTGCAAAACCCCACCTCCAAAATAACTAGAGCAAAATGCACTAGAGATATGGCTCAAGCAATAGAATGCCTGCTTTGCAAAGCATGAAGCCGTGAGTTCAAACCCCAGCCCCATCAAAATAAATAAATAGATAAATAGATAGATAAATAAAGATCAGCATTCAACCAAACTAAGTTTCTAAGTAGCTCACTTTCAGCCAAGCAAGGAAAGCAGTTTATCAATGGTAAATGAAATTGTGTTTGAGTGTAGAAATGTGTCCAGAAGAAATAAACTTGTATAATGTTGGGTTCTGGTGAATACAGTTGTACAAACAATTTAGGATACTAGAACCAATGTCACTAACCAAGCAAATGGAGTGGTTTTACTTAGCTTTGATGAGTTAGCTGATAGTATTCAGATATTGGTTACTCAAAGATGCAAGTATTGATTATACAAGAAGTTAAACTAACCGCAGAAGTAGCCCTATGAACAATCTGCATGAAACTACAGTGAGAATTTTTTTTGAGACAGGGTCTTACTATGTAACCCAGGCTGGCCTCAAACTTTCAATCCTGTGTCAGACTCAAGTGCTGGAATTATAGAAGTGCACCAACTCTGGCTCCAAATATAAGTATTTTAAAAAGAAGTTAAGAAAACACTAATTCAGCACAACCTAAAGCAGAATCTACTAAGATGTGTTACAGTTATGAAAATACAAAGTGCTTAAAATGTATGGTTATTCATTCTTATTCATCAGCAGGTATTATGCATAAAATATTTGAATCCACCTTGTTACTGAGTCAGTCGTGTCAATGGTGAACCTCACTCAGAAATCTTGACTTGCTCTACCTTATGGCATTTTTATGGCTTACCACTGGGAAAATTTCATTGTGATTTGTGGTACTCAAGGAAAAGACCAAATTCTTTTTCTTAATGAGAAGAACTACCCTCAATTACTATTTTCAAACAATGAATAGCTTGGCAAATAAGCTTTTGATGCTTACTTGATAATATTTCTTAACGAGTAACAAGGGAAATAATGTTTGTTTATTTTTCGGCGGCACTGGGGTTTGAACTCAGGGCTTCACGCTTGCTAGGCAGGCACTCTACCACTTCAGCCACTCTGCCAGCCTGGGAAATAATGTTTACATGGAAAACTTATGCTATGGTAAAGTCACTACAACACTAACTAGCATGAGTATCAACAAGCTAGCAAAGAAATCAGAGGCTTCATTTCCATACAAATTTTTAACATTTATTTTCTGAGCTCAAACTATAGATTTAGAAGTGTTCTTTGGATCTCAAAGTAAGCGGAAAGTAACTTTCCTTATCTAAAATTTCATTTACTGTGTAGTTGACGAGCTTCTATCTAGGCTTCAACTGGAAATGGTAACTATGCAGTTTAATGATAAAAGGTAAACTTCGTCAAAGGTAATTAAGAAAACAATCTAAGGCTGGAGATGTAGTTCAGTAGTAGAGTGCATGCCTAGCACACACAAAGCCCTGAGTGGATCTCTAGCACCACAAAACAAGAAAATATCTAGTGAAATTGTATAAATGCCTTCTCTAAACAGATGAACATGTTTTGTTAAAATCATATGCTTATAGGTTGCTTAAGATAGTGTTATGCTGCTGGGAGCCAGTGGCTCACGCTTGTAATCCTAGCTACTCAGGAGGCAGAGATTACGAGGATTGCAGTTTGAAGCCAGCCCTGGGCAAATAGTTCTTGAGACTCTATCTTGAAAATACCCAACACAAAACGGATGGCAGAGTGGCTCAAGTGGTATACCCTGTCTAGCAAGCATGAGGCTCTGAGTTCAAACCCTAGTACCACCAAGAAAAAAAAAAAAAGAATAGCATTAAGGAGATTAAACCCCAGAAGCAGATTCTTGCAAAAAAAATATGGAAATGTAAAAACCAGTATCTGGAGCAAGAAAATGGGTCTTGTACTGAGTATGGAGAGGAACTTACTATAATAAAAAAAAAAGGTGAGGTCTAGAGACTACAGCACAGTAAAACCTGACAATAAACCTAGGGGGAAAATTCTACAATAGACTGTCAGATACACTGCAAACAGGTAGAAAAAAGTATGGCCACCAAAAATGGGAGGCAATTGGCCTCTTGAAGCAAACTACCTGTTTTTGGAAATAGTCAAGCAGAGGCTGTATATTAAAGAAGGGATTCCATATTACAAAGGAATTGGAACAGACTGATTTCAAAGGCCCTCTGGACTAAAATATTAAGTATAGTTAAATATCCCCCTGTTCTTAGCATAGGGTAATAATTAAGCTACATATTCCAATGACACAAAATTACAACACTTTCCTGGCAAGGCCAGTCCATTTGTGTTGCCTCATCTTACCCTCCAACATACCTATGCTTTACTCCCTTCACACATCTAATGCTGTTCCCTCAAACCCTTTCTAGTCTCTCTTTATTTCACTCGAACTTCAGGTTATGAAAGCTTACATCCTAAGAAACTAATACTACTTCAGGGAGCAATGTTTCCATTCATCTCTGCATAAAGCACGTCTGTGCCACCAGAGTAGCACTTCTCACCTTCATGATGTTTATATTTTTGAAGTGCATAAGTCTTCTCTTCCTAAATATTTCCTTTACAGAATCAGAATTATAGTCCATTAAAACTCTCCTGAAAGTCACTAGCACAATGCCATATACATTGAAGATTAATCAAATAAGTAAGCCAAATCCAACATGAATCCTGAGTTCATTTCCCTTAATAACCTGTTGGAACCTACTAGCACTGTCCAAAAGAAATATATTACAAACTATAAATACAATTTTAAATTTGAAGCAGCCACATTAGGAAAGTTAACACTCTCTCTCTCTCTGGGTGCAGGTGGCTCATGCCTGTAAATCCTAGTTACCCAGGAGGCAGAAATCAGGAGAATCATGGCCCTGGGCAAACAGTTGGTGAGACCCTATCTCCAAAATACCCAACACAAAAAAGGGCTGGTGGAGTGGCTCAAGTGGTAGAGCGCCTGCCTAGCAAGCATGTGGCCCTGAGTTCAAACCCGAGTACCACAAAAAACAAAAACAAAACAAGACAGACGTGGTAACCTACACCTGTAAACCCAACACTTGGAAGGCTGATGCAGCAGAATCGTGAGTTCAAAGCCAGCCTGGGCTACATAGTAAGACCTTGTCCCAAATTAAAAAAAAAACTTTGGAAACAACCCAGGTGCCCTACAGCTGATGAATGGATCAAGAAAATATACACACAATATACTTTACTCAGTCATAAGGAATATGTGGCTTGAAAGTAAATGGATGCAATTGGAGGACATCATGTTGAGTGAAGTAAACCAGGCTCAGAAAGACAAAGGCCACATGTTTTCTCTCATACATGGAAGATAGAGCCAAAAGATAAACATATACACAAAAACAAGCATGTAGAACATATACAAACTCACATGTAGAACATGTTTGAATTATGAAACTACTTTATGGAACTTGGGAAAAGAGAGAAAGGAAAAGAGAATGATAGAGTATCAGTAGTACTGTAAAACATGATGTGAAGGTAGAGGATATAAGGATATATATTGAAAGCTGTTGAAAAATGGGGGTTGGGCGGTAAAGGGCTAAGGGAGAGTAATGGAAGGGGTTAAACAAACCAAAGTGTAGTATACCCACAGTGGACATACATTGAAAAACCCCTTTGAACATCAACTTAAATGATAACAAAAGACAGGACTGTAAAATAGGTACAGTGTGTGGCGGGGGGGGTACTAGTGAGAGGGGGGAAGGCAAATGAAGGAGATTAACATGAGGGTATATAGTTGATGGACTTTATATTCCTACATGAAATAGAGCAAAGAAACCTCTTGCAATTGCTTTAAGTGGGGCACGGAAGGGGTTTAGGGGGAGAGACAATGGGGCGATGTAACTAATGTACAATATTAAGTCAAGTTGGAATTGTCACTATGAATCCCATGTATAATGAATATATCCTAATAAAAACAATTTTAAAAATAAATGCTAAATAACCTGAAAAAGAAAGAAACCAGGCGCCTATGGCTCATGCCTGTAATCCTAACTACTCAGGATGCAGAGATCAGAAGATCTCAGTTCAAAGCCAGCCAGGGCAAATAGTTCATGAGACCCTATCTCAAAAATACTCAACACAAAAAACAGGTCTGGCAGGGAGACTCAAGTGGTAAAGCACCTGCCTAGCAAGAGTGAGGCCCCGAGTTCAAAACCCCAGTACTACCCCCACCCCACTCCCCCATAAAAACATTCTGGTGGTTAGCTCAATAGAACACTTGCCTAGCATATGCTAGATTTGTCCAGCACTGCAAAAACAAAAAAGTCCCCAACATGTTACCAATATTAAAAAAATCAATGAAAAATTCCTTTGTAAATGCTGTTTTCTAAATGTGATACATATTTTTATACTTAGAGCACATCTCAAATTGGATGCTATTTCAACAGTTAAAGTAGGGTATAGTCCTACCAAAGCAAGAAAGTTGTGCTTAATGGAATATATTTTATGCTACTTCAGTTTTTTTTAACTTAAAAGTGAAAGAAAATCAAGACTTCAGTTCCACAGTTACACCAGCTACATTTCAAGAGTCTAGCAGCCACCATATTGGATACCATAACTTCAAGGCATTTTGAGGGGTGGTGCTGCTGGGGACTGAATCCAGGGCCTTGTACATACTAAGCAAATGCTCTACCACTGAGTTATACTCAGCCCTGCATTTTTTTGGGTGGCATTGATATTTTGAGCTCAGGACTTTGCCTTTCCTAGGCAGGCGCTATACCACTTGAGCCATGCCTCCAATCCTTTTTGTTGTGGTTATTTTGGAGATAAGGTCTCATTTT